TTGTTCGGATGATTCGGTTGCGAAGCATTTTAAAGTGAGCGCAAATCAGATCGTCATTTTCTTTCCCGAAATGTTCTGGAGCAAATATGAGCCAAAACAAATCGCTTACAAAAAGGTGAAAACTTCTTTTTTTTAATTTCAAATCTGAAAATGTTGGTTTAATTTGTAAGCCTACCTCCCTTGTACCCTCCCCCCCCGCCCCTCCCTCTCACCTTGCGGCTCCTCCTAAGCCATATCCTGTAAGAGTGATGGATTATTTTCAGAACAGTACTTTTATTAATCTACCCGGAATACTTGGAACAGCTGTAATTCATGGTTCGATCCTCCATCTGCGCAACTGTGAATTTTTCTAGTTGCATTGAACAGTGCTCATTTGCCTGACATTGTGAGATTGTTGACCATTTTTCCTGTCAGCATATTGGAAAATGCAACTGTTACTTAGATTTGAAGGCATCACGCTGTATTTTGTGATTTCCTTTCTAAACTGAATAATTTTTCAGCTTTTTAAATTTTCGCATTTTTCACCGTGTTTCATCTTTTTCCTACATTCTTTTTTTTATTTCTTTATTTTTTACACGTATAAACCATGTTTTTCCACTTTTGCATCTCTTGCATTTAATTTAATTTTTTTTTTGGTCGAAATAGCATTTAAATTCAAATACATTTTCTAACGATATTTTCTATCAGTGATTCTATCAGTGATCATGATTTTGTGCAGGATGAAGGCACGGCTGAAGATTTGTTAACATTTTTCCGCGAAAATTCAACACCGCTTGTTGGTTGGAGAAGACGGACAAATGTTGCAACTCGATATACAAAATTTCCGCTTGTTGTCGTCTATTATAATGTTGATTTCTCGTTGGAGTATCGTGAAGGGACACAGTTTTGGCGCGCTAAGGTGAGTTGGCTTGTCTGTTTTTTTTTTAAATAATAATTGGACTGTTAATTAATATTGCTTCCTTCCACATTTCTTTTGAATTATTCTGAAAAATTTTTGAGAATGCAAACGCCCTGAAAGCATAAAAGTGCTAGAAAGTGAGTTTTTCTCTTTTTTATTGAATCATTTTTTCCGGATTAGTTCGAAATTTGCGAGTTAGTTTGATAAGATTCTCTGTGATAAGGAAATAACAAGCGTACGTCGTTCAGGTTAATCATTTTCATTTATTGTTCAGTAATTCATTTGTTGTTATTCCTTTTTATGCATTAGGCTTTTCAGGTACTAGAGATAGCGAATAAATATAAGGACGACAAATATCGGTTCGCTGTGGCCGATGAAGAAGAATTCGCTGATGAACTGGAAGCAGTTAGTTAATGATTTTAGATTTTTGCTGTTTTTTACACAAAAGATTTTTGTATGAATTCTGTTCTGTTTTCAAAAAGATTTGACGTTAGGTGTTGTTTTGGACTTAAAAATGAGCCATTAATGAGAAGATATTGTACCCACAAAATGCATTTTAACAAGACTGCGAGGAAAGGATTCACAGAGAAAAAGAACGAATCGATGAAAACTCATATTTATGAGTCCTTTAACTTTACTGGGTTTGTTTTGCACTGGGATTACATATCTAGGAAATGGTGGGAGCCGAAAATCCGCTATTCCTTTACAACTGACAGCCTGCTGCGAAAAGTTGGGTTCTGTGTAAGTAATTTGTCCATTCCCCTGAACAAATGGTGCGCGATAATAATCTAACTTCATCTTTATTATAATTTGATGATGGCTGTAGGTTGGCTTGGGTGACAGCGGACTTGAGCATAACGTTTTGGTATTCGGTTACGACGGCAAAAAGTACCCAATGCTTCCAGAAGATTTCGATGGCGAATTGGATGAAAATTTGCCGCTGTTCATGAAAAAGTTGTCCTCAGGTATCAAAATTCAATAATTTTATAAATTTTTTAGGTATATCTTTGAGAACGCGCAGGTTATTTTTTTAGAACGTCTTTCTTCAAAGCTGTATTTTTCGTGTTAATGATAGTATCAATAGGTTTTTTGTAATTAATTTTTGTATATTTAATTCGCCGAAAGTCAGGCGTTCCCACAGTTGAGCGGCATGCATAATATCATTTCTATCGCCGGGGCAAAATTTCAGTGGATTACATATTTCCTGCTATTTTTGAACTCTGCTTGTCAGTAAATAGTGCCCATTGAATGTAGAACCACCCTCGAACAGCAGCTGAAGAGTTGACGCATGTATGTAGAACGGGTTACGAGTATCAGTTGCAGATGCGTAGCACAAAAGACATATCTGCACCTGAAATTTGTTTGGATATGAAGGTAATTGACGGTGTTTTTGAGGCGATTTTGCTCCACAGCTACCCTTTGATGACGTCTTGTTGTTTGC